TTAGAAGGCTAGTTTCTCTCAAGAGGCAACTAGTATTCACTAGGATTTCAGAGGCTCAGGTTCGCTAACATAACTAGGTCAACACTGCGGCGTTAAAGGAAGGTCTGACTGCTGCTTATGTAGGGAGGTCTTCTGATGAGCTGATGATCTCCAGGTGTGCTGAGGACTCCAGCTCAGGAAGCCCACAGCGCTCTCTGCTGGAGACAGGTGGCAGATCTCCAGATCCCAACACTTTTAGCTTACACAACAAAAATCACAAGTTTTAGATTTCCCTCTAGGGTCCCAACCCCAGTTTGGAAACTCCTGGGCAACTAGCAGCACTGGATTTTATTACGGGGTAAGAGAGCTGCACACTAATGTATATAAGCATTTTAAAATCATGCATACTTTTTCCCACAGTTCAAATGTATTTGCTGCTTTCTTAGTTTTCCCTTAAACATAAATTTGGTAGAGAAACAGACATGTCCATGGCCATAATGTGAGAAAGTAATAAGAGGTCCAGTGGGCAGAAGGTAAGATGACAATGCATGTCATGATTATAGCCTGTCTCACCAGTGAATGTAGATGAAAGTTTTTAAAACTTAAAAATCTCTGACATAAACTCTGAGAAAATGAAACTTTGGCACTAACACGATGGTCCATTCATAATATTTACATTTCTTACGGCATCTGAAGCATATACAGGCAGAGAATGAAAATAGTGCATACCTGCATCTTATAATTCTGATAACTGCCTCCTTGGACACCATCATCTCTCAGCATGATGGTTTTAAAATATGGGCCTCCAGGATTCCTGTGATGCTAATATCGACATTTAAGTCCTTTTCCTAATTACAATACCAGCTCTCATTCCATCTGCATGTGCATTCAGACTGTACATGTGCAAGCAGAGCCGTGCATGGTCGCATGAGATGCAGGTTTTTTCCAGGTTTTTTTCCCCTTTCTCTCTGGTGCAGAAGACAGTTTAACAACACTAAAAAAATTAGCAGAAGAATAGGTAGAAGATTCTCAAAATAAGTTCATTTGCTCTTAATTCAGAGGGCAAATAAGAGGATCTGCCAATGAAATTAGTATATTTGCCTTTTAATAAGATACCTAGAAATTATGCAATTTAACTTTTGTCCACCTATTTTAGGCATCTTATGCTATCGTGAAATGCGCTACCTGCCTGCTCAAATCAAGGGGTCTATTTAAAAAAAAAAATTGACTTATTTAGACTTCAATTTTTGTAGTGAAGTTCCCTTTCTAGAGTCAGGCAAAGATTTAAGAAAAATGCTCAAAACAGAAACCTCTCAATCACATGCACCTTTTCAAAAAAATATATTTCATCATCACAGACAAAAAACGGTTTATTTGCTGGGACAGTCTCTGTTTGGTTAGCAAACTCATTTATGTGACAAAGGGGCAAATAAAACAAATGAAATCTGTAAAGGGGTAAATATTTCTTTGCCACACTGAATGATATAACCCACTAATCTGTTCATGGTGGCAACTTCAGGATGTAGAAAACTCTGTTTATTTGTCTTTTCTTTCTATGATATTTTACTTCTTGACTTATGTCATTGTAAAGAAGCGCAAACAAGACAGAAATTTCATCATGCATGACCCTGTCTTATGTCTTAACTGTTTACACTTCCTAAGCATAATATTATGACCCTTTGGATTGGTCTGCAACCATGCAGTCTCATGCACACCAAACAGTGTAACCTGACACCTATCTGTCAGATCAGCTTCCTTTGCAGCACGAGTGACAGTAGATCAGACCATACTGATTAGATTTGAAAGAATATCCATTTTATAGAGTAACCCCTCGTTGCTTTTGACTATATTTCCTGAAAGTGCTTTTAATTTGCTCAGCCATGCCAAGCAAATAAGCAGCAGAAATCTTTTTCAGGGTACAAATTTAAGCTATTTTGTCAAAAATATTATGTTAATGGTTCCCCTATAGTTAGTCTCACCTTTTCAGAGACCCACACCACCCATATTAAATTCATAACCAAGCCCACATTTAGGACCTTGGTCCTTCTTTTGGCTATTTTGTTAGTGTTTGGCACAAACATGATGCAATCAAGCAGGACTGCTGCAAACTAGGATGTGTTTTCTGCAGAATGCAAAATTCTTGTTATGGTCTGACAAATCTTTGGGAAAAAAGCCAACTATTTCTTGAAGATTGATCAGGATCGATCAGGATTATATGTGTTACGCAAAAAAAAAAAAAAAAAAAAAAACCCACCATGTATAGTTAAACATCTTTATAGTTCTCTGATGTTTTTCTAACCTCTTACACCCTAAGGGGGTATAAATACATTTCTGCCTGACAAAAACACACAAAAGTAAATAACTTATAGCCCAAAGCAATTAGATTTAAGAAGAAACTTTTGGTACGTCTGTAAAGGTAAGATGTCATAGAATGGTTTTCTGGTGTCAGCACCATTGTAGCTTTGACTCTGCCTGAAATATTAGGGACAAAATACAAAATATTTTGCATTTTTTGAACCTCGCCAAAATTTTCTTTGAAATAAACATTGCAAAACACTACCAAAATATTATTTATAGCACAAAAAAGTAGTACAGACTTTCAAATCTAAATGTTGTGTAAAAATATACCAAATTTGGACTCAATCAGATGAATCATATTTATTTTAGAATGGTATTAGTGAGAAATTTCTTAGGCGGAGAGGCCATTTTGGCACATTTATCCATAAATGTCACCAAACTGTGCCAAATATGTTTTTTACATCAATACTGGGGGTTTGGTAAAGCTACGAGGTCATGTAGCAGCTGGACCCGCCGGTGGGTCCGTAGGGTTCAAGGGGCTAAACTCCAGAATCCATATGATTTTGTGGAAATCTTTGTTAAAATTGAAGAGATAAAAAAGCAGTTTTTGCAATTCTCTAAGCTGAGGTGGTTCTAGACAGGGGCCAACTGGGACCAGAGCCTCTGTAAAACTGGTCCTGCCCCCTGTGATAGCCCCTGTGCTTAAGATATTAAATATATGATAACAAAACACCCTGTTAAAGAAACAGTATCTGGTTGGTCCCAGTCTCCAGACGTATTGTATCTTTTAACCTTTACAGTTTTATTTGAACAATAGTTTACAACTTGACATGTTGTTCACCTTCAATTATATAGCAACAGGATCACAGCTCCCATCTGCTATAACAGGGGTTATCAGAGCCAAAAGTAGCTCTTTAGCTTCTTCTTTGGCTTATTGAGTACATCAAACAATATGTCTGCTTTGCATTTTTCTGTTCCACATTACAAAAAAAAAACAAAAAACAAACAAACAACAACAAAAAAAAAGCATCTTGGTCCTTAGTGTAAAATTTGGTCTAGAACCACCACTTCTAGTCATCTTGCCATCTTCGTCCTTGCTGGTATTGTTCCTGTTTCTAACAATCTCAGTTTGAGAAAATAATGTTCATTGCTGTCTAGTACTTTATAAAATTTTCTCCAGAAGAAATCATATGAAGAAAATTCAGCTAGTCGGTATTATGGCTGATAAGTGGAGGATCTGGAATAAGAAATACAGTTGTTGTAAGAAGGCAGACAAAGCGTAAATCATTACTGCCATCTAGTGCTCTCCATAGGATGTTGTGACAACTCAAAGGCCGGTCTATGATGACAAGGAAAACTTCAACACAAATGACATCTTTTGGCCCAGAAATGAATGAACAGCTATAAGAAAGCTTGGATTTCTCTGTCTCTGTTGTATTTCAAGTCTGCTTTCAACATTTTAGCCAAGTTAAATATCTCATTCAGATCAGTGACAGATCTCATCTGTAGTCTCCACAAGACACTTCTCCAGCAGCAGGCGCAGATGTTGGCCTGTTAGAGGTTAAGACAGCATCCATTCCGCATGACTGCTTCTACCAGCAGGAGCCTCGGCCAGCAGTGACAATCTGGGCCCAAATGTCACAATCTTTCTAGCTCCACTCCAAGCCTCATAGGCTCAGATACAGCCTGCACTGGTTGCCATCATGGCCAACTCCTGATGCAAGGTGCAGTAGGATGTTACTGAATATGAGCGGTGATTTCTGCTCCCACTGCGGGGATCTAAAGGGGCGCATCCTCCTTCTGCGTGTTGCAGCGATGCGCAGCCGTGCCGCATGACTCACGACGAGGCAGCAGCAGCATCAGCGGCGGGGATGTAAACAGGAGGCGGGTGGAGTGAGGCCTAACCTGTACCCGCTCAGCCAATGGGAATCCGCGCTCCTCCGCATCGGTGCCGAACCCACCGCTCTCATTTGTCTTCCGCCGCGTCGATTGCAGCTTCGCAATTTACACCGCAGAGAAGCGGAGAGAGGGGGAAGAGAGACGGAAGAGGAGGGGGGGAAATATTAATCTGTCACAGGCGAATTTTCTACTATTCTAACTATTTGAAGCTGTGTTTTTTTCTCTGTGAGCCGGGTCGCCGCCTGCAGCGGTAGTAGCAGGTGGTGCTTGTATAACCGCGCGGAGCGTCGACGCTCTTCTGCAGCCGCCTGATCTGCGCGTCGTTTCAGCACCGGACAGCGACACACCGGGAGCCGCGGCCGGTCAGCTCCCACCGCCACAGCAGCACAGGTGAGCCTTCATTCCTCTGACACATCTTACAATATACCTAAAATGTCGCGATGTTTCCAGGCACTGGTGGCTTGGATGTGCTTTTTAATACGCGTGTTTAGGCGTTGATTTGTGCGCTGTGAAGAGACGGATCTCCTCTCAGCAAATGTCCTTGACGGTAAATGTGTGTTTGTGTCAAAGGGAGAGAAACAGAGACGGGTTGCGCTCCTGCGCAGTTGTCTCTTCTTGTCTCCTTATGTCCCTTTTTTTCTGTTTTCTTTTCTGACTTTTCCTCTCTGGTTTTGTCTCCACAGCCCGTCCGACCCTCGATTAGCTCGGGGGGCAATGCGCGGCTAGATGACTTCACCACATCAACAAGCGACCACTGTAGTCCTGGACTAATAATACAGCAGCGCTACGTCCCCTCCTCCTCCCTCCTCCCCACATCTCCCTTCTGTCTCCATTCGCTGAATCCAAGTCCTCCTGACTAAAGGCACCATGGGAAATCGTGGCATGGAGGATTTGATCCCGCTGGTCAACAGGCTGCAGGATGCCTTCAGCTCCATCGGCCAAGCCTGCAACCTGGACCTGCCGCAGATCGCGGTGGTCGGCGGTCAGAGCGCAGGGAAGAGCTCTGTGTTGGAGAACTTCGTCGGCAGGTAAAAAAGAAAAATGACCACCGGATTGGGATAATCTCTGCTACCGTTTAACCTTGGGGATGACGTAAGAAGCCCGTGTGTCAGGCTGCAGGATACAAACCATCATTCCTCCACTTTAATACAGCCTCATTCAAGCCCTGTCCCTCGTTTTCCTTTTTATTTCAAACCAGCAGCACTGGGTCACAGTACCAGCTTTATTTAGGCTACAGAAGCACCTTTGGGGATTTTGACCCAATAAGGATCCAGTATAAAGGAGCCCCAAGTAGAATTTGGTGTCACTTCCAAAACATGTTATCTAATAAAAACAAAATAGTTCAATATCTAATGAATATATCCATAAATAGGTGTTGCCATTTTATTTAAGCAGCAGATGGCCATCATAGATATACCTTTTGATAAATCACTAAGTCAGATCTTTGACTTATTAGCACAACTGTCTGTGTTCATAGTGCCTTGGCATCAGGAGAGACACAAAAAGATGAATGCTCTTTATTTTTTTTATATTTTACCAAATTTATTATGAACTGTATTAAGGAATGATTACCTCAAAGGCAAAGAAATGGACTGCCCCACAGATTTACCCAAATAATTAATTTTCATCTACAGCATAAGTTCTATATTTTCTTGATTTAAGTATGAAATTCAATTTGCTAATTGGATAAAATGATTAATCATTAAAATTGAAAAAAAAAAAAAGTTATATTTTTTGTTCATCATATCTAATTCTCTAATTATTATCATACATTTTTCCAGATAATTTTACTTTCCTGCTGGAATTAAGGGAAAATGTATCTTTTTTTAAATAGATATTTATTTATTTAGATCATTTATTTAGATCTTCTGAGGCCTTAAATGTTTCGTCCCATAGACTGATTTAATATTTTGCCTTTACAATTCACCTGAACCACTAATTAGCTATTACTTTCTGCTTTAAGTTCCAGGAGTTTTGATAAAAAGGTCAGAGTTTTAATATTTTAGTTCAGGGTCCAGCAACGGTGGCTCTATGTCTCATTTAATATACTAAACTTTACTTTTTTTACTTTCTTTTTTTCAATTTCTGATTCTTTTCCTTTGCCCCATAATAAAAAAACACCGGCTAAATAGATTTCCCTGGTATATTACGTCTAGAACTGCAACAGATCTACATGTGCAAATATTTTTATAATAGAAACCCACAATACATGAATATAAAGATAGAAAATAAAATGTAACCTTAAAAAAAGATTAATAAAATGTTTGATGTCCCTATAGATAGGCGCTCTTCTAACCTTTCCAGTCTTAGCCTTGACTCTGAGTCAGCGGTCTGTTTTGGCCTTTTGCTCTTCAGTTGAACCTGCTGATAATTAGGTTAGACAGTTACTCCAAAGAGAAGGTGGACTCTGTGAGGATGATGCATACTTTTTTATCTGAGTTTTCAAAATGTACATGCAATATCAGAAAACATTTTCATTCATTACTTTAAAGTCAATAAGGGGACAGTTCTACACATTTGTGTTTAGTGGGCAGCATTTTGTCATTTATCTGTTAATTAGGGACATCAAATTACAACTTTTAACTAGAAAATCAGTAAGTGTCCATACAAACGATAACCGTTACACCCTTGTCAGGTCGGTATGCAAGTGTACAAACAAAATAATACAGAATTATTTATACCACACATGCTTTAATAAACAGCTCCTAGCTAAAGCTAAGCTGTCAAATTTGCTAACATTACCGTTTCTAATGCAGCTACAGTGCAAGAAGAAAGGTGGATTACGGCAAAACCTTATCTATTACCTAGCGAAAACATATTTTACAGAGATCATCTACTTAATCTACTCTGCAACTGTAAATGAATTACTCACCTAGCATAAAATCATGATTAATATAAAAATCAGGAGTAGCTACTGGAACAAAGTCAGCTCAAGTCGAAATCCAGCCTTCTGAAGCATTAAACCAGTCCAAAATGTTTCAGAACAAACTGTTACTGTAGTAAAGAGTCTTCCTCACAACAGAGAGAATTTATTGACTCATGGTGCATTCAAGTACATCATGTACACTGTATGGTCCAAATATCAAAACAAGTCTATATTCATTTCAACATTTTTTTTTTAATTCTTAAATGTCTGCATCATCACATTAAAATATTCATTCAAGTGGTTTTATTGTGGCTTCCATCCATCCATCCATCCATCCATCCATCCATCCATCCATCCATCCATCCATCCATCCATCCATCCATCCATCCAAAATGAATATTTTTTCTCTCTCTCAAATATTACCTCTTTTGTAATTCATATTGTGTATGAGAATTGAGGCACTTCTATGGCCTCCCTGTTGACCTAAAAAGCTGCTAAGTTTGCTAACACTTCACACTGGCTCTAGTGACACCGATCCCTTCTCTGCATACATCCAATGTTTCCAGTGCTGGTTGCAGAATTGCTCTGCTGTGTATAAGCTTTATCAAACATCACCCACATGCAGCAGCTCCCACTCCTGCATGCAAAAATGAATAATGAATATTCTCTGTGTTGCTCTGGAATTTAAATTTGAGCAAATAGGTTAATGCTGTTATCTCAAAGCACGACATGCACATGTTCTTGTTCCTTACTTCCAAATTAGGGTTTCCAATGTCATTCATTTGAGCCTCTGGATAGTTTAATGTGACCAGAGAGGAGCACCTTACAATCTTTGAGACAGGGTGCCGAAATTAACTTTGGAAATTTTAGTATGCCGTTATCCTTTTTATTAAGGTTCAGGAGGTGGAAGAAGTAGCGAGTGGCGGACATTAAAAAAATTGCACACTAAAAAGTCATGAAAGACTTCAAAAACTCAATTATTAAATAAATATTACAAGTTCAGGTTGACCTTTTAGACCCTTAATCCAACTGTTACATCCATTCAAACCCACAGCAATCAGATATAACTTGATGTTTGTAATTTAGCTGAATATTTTAGTGCTGTGATTCAGATTGCTGCATTGATTTAGTCCTCCTCCATCCCTCAATAGGAGCCACGATGCTGAGTAATGGTCCATCTGTCCAGCTCTGGCTTGGCACAGTGCTGAATGGATACTGGAGGCTTCATAATTTCTTTAAGGCTCATCCCATACGATTTCCCTCTGAGGGAATACTTGTCAATACGTTTTACTGGAGCAAGCTCTCTGCCTAACAGATCCAGACTTTAAAGTTAAGAGCATGTGGGCAGAGCCACTGTTCTGCTTTCACACACATATACACACACAGACGTATCTGATCTGTGTGTGTAACCCTGCAGAAAATGTCGAAGTCACCGTTTTTTTAAATGAGCAGGCACCCTGTCAGCTCTTCATTTGGACCCGTTGTTTATCAGGTCAGAATGTTCTGTCCTCAGCTGCAGAAACACCAGCTGAAATTTACAGGCTTGGTATAAAATGGCCTCTGGTTCAGTCATTTTGAGCTTGCTAACAGGATTATAAAGAAACCCAAAGGATTTCTCAGATGCATCTGGCATGTTATTGAGAACATCATAGTCCACAAACACTTAGGATGAGAATAAATAGCTGAAGAAATAAGTCATGATTATGATATCTGTGTTCATATTCACCCTGTTTGTAAATTGACTTTTGGTTTGTGTTTCCTCCTCAGGGACTTTCTGCCCCGTGGTTCTGGTATCGTCACCCGCAGGCCTCTGGTTCTGCAGCTCATCAGTGCAAATGCTGGTGGGTCCCACACACATTTGCACACCCACACAAGCAGCCACACATTTGTCCACTTAGATATGCACACAAACACACACTCCTCTTCTCTTTTGAAATGATGCTGCTTTTATCCCTCCTCCACCGGCATTTTGTTCCACTCAGAACAGCCATCGCTAATCTTTGCTGCATGTTTTTTCATTTATCATCTCCACAGAATGGGCTGAATTCCTCCACTGCAAGGGGAAAAAGTTCACCGACTTTGACGAGGTGCGCCAGGAGATTGAGGGTGAGACCGATCGGGTCACAGGGGCCAACAAGGGCATATCTCCCATCCCCATCAACCTACGAGTTTACTCTCCTCATGGTATGGTTGCAATCAGTCTGTTTTTCTTTTTTTTTTATATGTCAAGTTAGTACGAGTTTGTTGAAACTCCTCTCGATCTAAACGGGATGTGACAGGTTGTGAGTCATCATGCATAGCTGCCAGAGGAGCTTTGTCCCTAGTAACAAAGATAACAATGTTCTTAGGAAACCATCACATAAATATTCTGTAGTATTAATACTTTATCCTAAAATAATTCAGATTCCAGATGTCAGGGAGGTTTTTTTTAACTTTAGGGATGGATCAGACTAAAATGCTTTTTGACTTTTTAAGAAGTTGCATATTTTAGCAACAAGTGGCATTGCTGCCATTTGTTGTTTTTTTTTGTTTCATCTCTTTGCACATACTTTCATGTTGCAAAAGTAAACTTACATTTTATTTGGGGGCGTGGATTGTATATGATGGATCAACATAAAAATGTGTTTTTGGAAATAAGAGAATATGTGCTTCCCAAGTACTCTGAGATCCGATCCACTCCAGCTAACTGAAGTTAAACCCTGTAGTAATGTCCTACTTATTGTTTTCCCATCCAATAAAATCATTAAAGATGGTGCTAATATATATACCAAAGCAAAAAAAGGAAAAAATCAAGAGGTTTGGTTTTGCATTCAGATCAATCTTTTAAAGGAGCATCAGTATAACTCACACTGTGCTTTTATTTACAAAATAAATAATAGTGTCTATTGTGATTCCTCTAATTGTTATTTTAATAATAATTAAATCTGATTTAATTGTATAATTGGTGTTATTTAATTGTATATTTAATATTTAACTGCCAGACACAAGCTGAATTGCATATTGATTAGAATCAGAATTAGATTTATTACCAAGTACTGTAGGCTTGCACTTCCAAGGAATCGGACTTAGTGGCGATAGTGCAGACAAAATATAGTATATTGCCATATACTATATAAAGAGTAGGCTGTACTTTAATGTAACAGAGGAGGTCTGAAGCTTCTAGGTTGGTGTAGCTTGTAGGTCCTGTACGGGGGAGGGAGAGAGGTAGTGTCAGTGTCATGTGGATCTCTGGGCCTTGTTGATAAGGCTGGTAGCAGCTGGGAAGAAACTGTTCTTGTGTCGTGAGGTTTTGGTTCTGATTGACCGCAGCCTCCTGCCAGAGGGAAGTGTCTGTATAGCTGCACATAGCTAGAGTTTGATCATTTAGTGTACATATATATGTATATAAAACAAGCATTTATATATAAAATAGATAGATATATTTTTTTTATTAAAAAATAGATTTATTTTCTATATAAATATAAAGTTGGGTAATCTGTTATTTTCCGGTATTACTTTGCTGAATTTTCCACCAAATCAAGTTGGTGGCACACCATAGAGAAAAGCATTTTTGATTGATTGCAAAGAAGTTTGTTTTTTGCATTCATACTCTAATCAATAAATTGACTGATTTGCTTTTTAACATTTGCATGTACAGTAATAACAAAGGATTACAATTTATGAGTCCTTAGCAGCTCAGACTGCAGGCACAACTTCATCAAGAATCCAAGTCAATTTCACCTTCATTTTCTGTATTCTAGTTTATTTATTTGTGTTTGGATTTTAAATTATAAACATTAAGTGTTGTTATAGTGAATATAGTGTTTATGTATAGTGAATACATAAAGCTTTTTTTTTAGTAAAAACAAAGGGTAAACCCTGAAATGAAATACAATGAGCCAAAAATAGTGCAATAATTTAATCCAGAGTGCACTACCGGTGTAGAAAATCAAATGTGAAATATTCAGTGGAGATCCCACTTTGATTATTTTAGGGAATATCATTTATAAAATATCTTCCTGTGACTGCAGTGCTGAATCTGACCCTCATCGACCTGCCGGGAATCACCAAGGTGCCAGTTGGAGACCAGCCTGCGGACATCGAGCAACAGATCAGGGATATGATCATGCAGTTTATCAGCAGAGAGAGCTGCTTGATCCTGGCTGTCACCCCAGCAAACACTGACCTGGCCAACTCTGACGCCCTCAAACTGGCAAAGGATGTCGACCCCCAGGGTAAGGCAAAAACCCCAAGTCTGTATTAGGGACGTAGAATTAGAAAAGTGAAGGAGATAAACCTAATAAAAAAAAAACATATATCAGTGATGATAATAAATCAGATATTCTTTCAAGTGAAGCAACATCAGGGATAGAAAACCATTTATAAACATTTTCCCCTTAACTCCATAAAATGCAACCTGATCTCATAGTAAAAAGGCAGGGGGCCATTTATGAGCTTTACAATGTGATTCTGCCAGGTTTTTATTGGCTGCTCAGATCAGCAGACATGAATTAGTTGGCCAGACTTTTCCATTTTAAGCTTGCTGTTACAGGAAAACGGAAAATAAGCTTTGAAGAGCCAAAAATGAAGAGTTCAGGGATTTATCAGAAAACTTTTTCAAAATAAAGGATTTCCATGTCGCTACTTTAAAACATACTTACATTTTAGATTGTCAGTTATAAAAAGGCAATAGAAGTTCATTTATATATGTTTAATTAGCACGTTTCAGTTGCAAAACAATTGAATTGTGCAG